ATTATTATTATTATTATTATTATTATTATTATTATTATTATTATTATTATTATTATTATTATTATTATTATTATTATTATTATTATTATTATTATTATTATTATTATTATTATTATTACTATTGTTATCTTTATTATTATTATTATTGTACTATCACTATTATAATTATAATTATATTATTGTGCTAACGCATAGATATGAGTATAATAACATAGCGATCAGAATAAACCAGTTCTTTAATTACAATACTTATGTAATTTGCTGCTATACCCTAATTTGTTAACTTGTTTTGTCAATTCAATTGCTATTTATGTACTTTTTAAATTATGTGAAAACAGGCGAACAAAATTTTTGACATGTTTATGACATTTCATCAATGACGTTGACTGCTGCCAGTTACAGCCGATGAATAATGTGCAAAAATAATAAAAATAACAAATTTCATCTCAAATTTTAGTTTAACCGTATGTTTGTTATATTAAAATTTATATTGGAATACGAAATTAAATTTGATAATGGATAAAAATAGATAAAAATTATCACGTATAACTATGGAACAAAAAAGAACTTTTATCGGACGAAATAAGTGGAAAAGTTTTCAAAACTACGTGCATTTCATTTATTGAAACAAAATTTTAACTAAGTAATACAAAAGGGAAATACAATTTTTTTTTTTGCATTCTCTTTTACATATCATAAATTTATATTGTAATTTAAATTCTTTTTCCAATCTCTACGATTAAATCTGAATGCTTATATTTAATTTCTAATTTGGAATCAAACCTTTTTAGGAAGATATAATTTACATTGTAAATATATTTTTCTATACAACTTACAGGTATAATTTGCAATTGAATGCGGAAAATTTATCACTAAAAAGACTGGGTTGAATTATTTGAATTTAATTTATCAGATATCTTTAAAATTGTTTGAAATTTACGGATTAAGTTGAAGATAAGAGTATAATCTATGATTTGTGGATAATCAGCAATTTGCAAGCTGCTCAATCTATGGTGGGAACATTGGGAAATACTGTAGAAGTTGCATCGAAGAATAATAATTACCGGGATTATCCATTTATCTACCTTTACATATCATTTGTCGTTCTTGATCATATGATCATAAGTTTATAAAATTACAATTTCCCCGATAAAATGAATCAAAAAATATTAGCAATAATCAAAATCAAAAATACTTAATATTCATTCTACATGCTAGTTAGGTTGTTAATGGATATTAAGTTAATTAAAAAGTAATTATGAGGAAAGCGAGAATAAATTTTCATCGTAATTTTTCTAATACAAATTAGATTTTCTTAATGCTAATTTAATCTCGAAAAAGAATGCATTTAAATCTAAACTAATTAATTAAGGATAATTTATACCAAAAGCCCAAAAATGAATAGCTCATAAAATTTTATAAAAATTTCAACTTAAATTTTTAAGTCATAATCATAGGTGGTTGCCGATAGCTATTCATAAATTTTAGCTAAATCTTTCTTCTACGCCATCGTTTTTCTTTTTTGTTTAAATTGAATTTTAATTCTAATTGATGTAATTTCAGGAAGTTTCAAATTGAAGAAGTCTATGTTTCATTTTTTTAAATTTATTTTATATCATTATAATTGCACTTAAACGATTGCAATGATAGTTATGAAATAGCAATCTTCTTCCTACAATATAATGATGTAATACTACAAATATTACAATCAATTAATCCAAAATAATCATTCAAACGAATTTAATTTGTAATAAAAGATTTGTAAAATTTAGATTTAAAGTGTTAATTATTTTATCAGAAGAGAAAAAACTTTTTTTTTCCCTGCCAATTTTCCTGTTCAATTAAATTTGTTTTTATAAAATTAAAAAAAAAAAAGTGTAAAATTTGAATGGATTATTTTTGAATAACAAAGAAGAAAGAAAAAGAAAAGTAATAATAATAAATCACAACAGTAAAAGATATGAAATTCGGAATATAAATGATATCTATAACTGAAATGAAAAAAAAAAAATTCTTTTCAAACTTTACTAATTTGTTTTTTAATATATTTTTTTTTCTGAAAAAAATAATAGCACTAGAAATTTGAAAGAGAAACAATTTAGGGAATAAATTTTACCGAAAATAAAATTTTATTGTAAAAAGAAAATGAAATTTTTATTTGCAATAAATTAAAAATAAATGCGTAATAAAATTTTAAGAATTTTTTGTTTCGCAAAAAAAAAAAATGAAATAATGTAAATTGAATTTATTATTCGTTCTTTTTCTCGATCACTTTTCATTTTTTTTTTTCCGTTCATTACTGAATTTATTCATTGATTATTATTCGATTTAAAAGTCATGAAATTTTGCCTTATTTTAGAGCTTAATTAATCTATCTATGAAATTCGTATTTAAATTTAAATTACCAATTAATGAAAATCTAGACTATTACAATGCTTAAAAATAATATTAGCATGGAAAATTTTATGTTAGCTAATTGCTAAATTG